GCGAGTGATGAGCGTAAAGGATGCGAGGACTGACAGGGCGATGCGCATGAGCCAGGACGCGGAATGGAAGCAGAACCGACATGGTTTTGCTCGACTCGCGGCCCCACAGCTCACGACCCCAGCCCTGGGGCCATCAGTCCGTCCCGCACCGACCCAAGAACGGGACCCAGGGGCCCAAGAACGGGACCCCAGAACGGGACCCAGGGGCCGCAATCAAGGAAAACCGCTGGGATTGAAGCATCCAGGTAACGTCTTCGGTCTTCAGGTCCGAGGGGGGGGGCCTCAGGGCCCACCTCGGGGCGCCCAGCGGCTGCGTTTTGGCGGCAACCGTGGCTGGAACCGTGGCCGCTGCGGCACCTCACTGAGGGCACGTCGCCCTGGGGGTACTACGTCCAGCCCCTCCCACAGCCGGGGCAGGAAGGTAGGCAGGGCCGACTGCCCGGACGCCGCCTGCGCATCAGCTGCCCGCGCGGAGGGCGGCGGGCAGCCCCCCCCCCCCCCCTCCTCCTCCTCCTCCTCCTCCTCCTCCTCCTCCTCCTCCTCCTCCTCCTCCTCCTCCCTCCTCCTCCTCCTCCTCCTCCTCCTCCTCCACCTCCTCCTCCTCCTCCTCCTCCTCCTCCTCCTCCTCCTCCTCCTCCTCCCTCTCCCCCCTCGCGCCACGCGGCGGAGCCCGACGGCGGCCTCCGCGAACCACCGCGCGCGGCCGCCCGATCTTCGCGCGTCAAGGGGGACCCTTCCTGCTCCGTCGCGACGCCCCAGACATGACCGCGCCGTAAACAAAAATCAGGACGGGAGGTTTTTGACCCGTGTGTCGAGGCGGATCCGGCAGGGGCGACGGGACGCCTCTGGGCGGCTCAAGACTTGCTCGGGGTTCGTCGAGAGCGTGTATATTTTGTTTCCCCGATCCCAACCCAGACATGACCGCGTCGTAAACAAAAATCAGGACGGGAGGTTTTTGATTATCTTCGGCCCCTGGGGGGGGCCCTCGACGGGCTGCGGGACCGTCCAGAAACGACCCAGGACGAAAAGCCGGTCCCGGGGAAAGGGCCGGGACTTGCGGGGACGCCGCCCTGAACAAATCTCGGGGGCGGAAAAGAGGGGGATGATGACTAGGGGGGGGGGACATCATGGCGTGGGCCATGATATTTCCCCAGATTTTATGGCGCCTCTTCGCATTTCCCTGGCCCCCCCCCCCCGCTGGGCCGCGCACGTGCCGCCAGTCATGATTTGCACCCCCCCCTTCTTGGACACCCCCCTCTTGGCCGCTCCCGGAGATCAAGTCAAGACGCCACATGCCTGGGACACTGACATCGGACTCCCCGAGGGCGCGGGCGCCGCGCACCCGCTCGCCCTGGGCCCCCCTCGCCGCGCCGTTCTCCTCTTGCGGGCCCATGCGGGTCTTGCGGCGTCGGTGCTGGACCGCTGGTTCGCCAGAGGGGAGGCGTCCGAAAGGGAGGCCTGCCCACCGCCGAAGAGAGAGAGAGAGAGAGAGAGATCACGGCGGGCGCTCGTGGGCCCTTTCTCGGGCCCCTGCGGGGCGCCCTCGCCCTGGCCCCGGATCTCTGGCGGCCGAGGTGACGACAAAAACCACAGTGTGCGCGCGCGTGTGTGTGTGTGTGCGTGTGTGTGTGCGTGTGTGTGAGTGCGTGCGTGCGTGCGTGCGTGCGTGCGTGCGTGCGTGCGTGCGTGCGTGTGTGTGTGTGTGTGTGTGTGAATGTGTGTGTGTGTGAATGTGTGTGTGAAGTCCGCCCAGAAGTCCGCCCACATCACCTTTTTCTATCCACCCATCCTGCTACCGTCTCGGCTCAGGCACTGGACACTGGACACTCCTATCCGACGGGACTGGCGCCGCTGCGTGGGGAAAAAGGCATCTCCCCCCTCCTTCTCCTCCTGCTCCTCCTTCTCCTCCTCCTCCTCCTCCTCCTCCTCCTCCTTCCCTCCTCCTCCTCCTCCTCCTCCTCCCTCCTCCTCCTCCTCCTCCTCCTCCTCCTCCTCCTCCTCCTCCTCCTCCCCCTCCTCTTCCTCCTCGTCCTCCGCCAACGGACATCTCAGTGGGTTCGACCAGTCGGTCGTCAGCCTACATCCACCCGGTGCCCTGGCTTCGGGCACCGGCCCTGCCCCGGCCGATCCCGGGCCCAGGGTGGGTGCACGCTAATGCTGCAGGCCCCCCCGCCCCGCCTCGCGCTGCGGCAGAAATCGCGAGAGGAGGAGGAGGAGGAGGAGGAGGAGGAGGAGGAGGAGGAGGAGGAGGAGGAGGGAGGAGGAGAGAGGAGGAGGAGGAGGAGGAGGAGGAGGAGGAGGAGGAGGGAGGAGGAGGAGGAGGAGGTGGCTGTTTTTGGTCCCCGGGGGCGCTCACCAGGTCCCCGGGGCCGTCACGGAATTGAGAAGCAGACGCAGTCCCGAGGAAGGGCCCAGGCCCCCGGGGGATCCAGGCCACGAGCAAGTCCCCGTGTCGGAGTTCGGTACGCCACGGGGTCTCTGGTCGAGCGCTTGCTTTTTTCGTGGCTGTGCAGCGGCACGTGCTGCTTTGCAGGGAAGACCGTGTTCAGATGTTTCGAAGGTTCGCGCGCGGCGCAGGCCATGGTAGGATAATTCGCCCGCCCGTTACCTTCATGCGAGACGCTCCGCGTTCACCGCCCGCGCAGTCCAGTTCTCGCCGGAGGAGGCGAAGACGGCTCCAAGATGGGATGAAGTTACTCCGCAAAAATGCTCGGGATCTTGGGTGATTCGGGCGCCATCAATTCGTAGCATACCCGCAGGCCCTCCTGTTCGAGCCGCGTTGGAGGAAAAAGAGCCCCAATATACGCTTTCCCCACGCATCCGCGCAACTTCCGCCAAATTAGGGAGAGGCCTTCCCGCTGGTGTCCGTGCGCGTATGTGTTGCTGTCGATCCCCTCTGGGTGGACCCAGCTTCTCCACGCTGTGCGCGCTGGCCCGGCCCGCGCGCGTGGCTGCGACGCGAAACAGAAGGCGTGTAGGCGTGTGTATGTGTGTGTGTGTGTGTGTGTGTGTGTGTGTGTGTGTGTGTGTGTGTGTGTGTGTGTGTGTGTGTGTGTGTGTGTGTGTGTGTGTGTGTGTGTGGCCTCGTCCACCCTCCCCGCCCTTCGTGGCGCCCCCCGCCGACCCCTCTGGGGATGAGGAGGCTGGGGGGGCACAGACAGGAGCTGAGGGGTGGCAGGTCGTTCTCTCCTCTCTCCCCTTTTACTCTCCCTTCTCCGATCCCGCGCACGCCATGCTTCGCAGAACGTCGAAGAATGACCCCAAGGCCCCCAGCCGCTCAGCCCCGCTGCGCTCGCCTGTCCTCGGATGCCCCACCTTCCTCGTCGTCTCGTCTGGCCGTCTGGCCGCGCTGCGCACCCGCCTGCCTGCCTCTAGGCATGCCTCGTCTTGCACCCCGCCACCCTCGCTGCCCGCGCCAGGGCATGCGCATAGCACGGATGATTCCGCTGTGGGCCCCTGCCCCGTTTTCTGAAGGGGCCGGCCGCGCGCGCGCGCGCTTCAGCCGTTTGTGGATTTTCTCCGCCTCGTCGTTGCATATATATATGTGTATATATGTGTATGTGTGTGCGTGTGTGTGTGTGTGTGTGTGTGTGTGTGTGTGTGTGTGTGTGTGTGCGTGTGTGTGTGTGTGTGCGTGTGTGTGTGTGTGTGTGTGTGTGTGTGTGCGTGTGTGGGGTCTGGCGCTCTCCTGCGTCTCGATGCCATCGCCGACTAGGCTCAGGTATGCCGCGTGCTTGCTCGATGCCCGTCATCTTTGCCAGCGGATCGGTGACGTGGGCGCTGGTTCCCCAGGCCCTCAGTCCGCAGCAGGCGGCCAGAAATGGCCAGAACGCTACCCGCAAGGAACCCAAGGCGGCCCGAAGACGGCCCAAAAGGCACCTCCAATGGCCCACCGTGGCCCCCAGAGGGGCCCAAGATGGGCCCGAGGCGGCCCAGGCGAGCCCTCCAGGCGGCTCGGAGCGCGACCGTCCCCGCGAGGGGCCCGAGAGAGCCGACGGAGCCTCCTTGAAACCAGGCCGGCATCGGGGCCGCTTTGGGGTCGCGCTTTCGGGACAAATTGGGGCCCCAGACATGATCGCGTCGTGAACAAAAATCAGGACGGGAGGTTTCGGGCCATTTGCGGCCCTGGGGGGGCCCTCGCCGGGCCTCGACCGTCAACAAAAACGATTCAGGATGAACAACCAGTCCCGGGGAAAGGGTCGGGACTTGCGGGGACGCCGTCCTCAAAAGATCAGGACGGCGCATGTCTGGGGCCCAGAGTCGTCCAAGAAAGCGCCGCCGAGCTCCCAGGCCGTTGCCTTCCGCCGTTGGCCAGCGCCCCACATGATGCTTGCGGGGTGCGGTTCCTCCGAGGGGTCTCTCGCAGTCGCGAGTCGCGTCGCGATTCCTGTGCTCCGGGTGGTCTGCTGCTGGCACGGAGCGGCGGCCACCCGGCGAAGGTTGGAGCCCAGACATGCGACGTCCTGATTTCTTCGAGGCGGCGTCCCCAGACCTCCTCGAGTCATGGAAAAAATCACGACGGGAGGTTTTTCGCTATTTTCGGCCTCTGAGGGCCCTCACCAGACCTCGGGAGAGTCAAAAAACGTCTCGGGATGAAAAACTGGTCCCGGGGAATGGGTCTGGACCTCTGGGGGTCGCGTCATGAAAAAATCACGACGTCGGGGGTCTGGGTCCCTGGAAGGGCCGACCCCTTCCCCGGGACCGGTTTTTCGTCCTGAGTCGTGTTTTGACGGTCCCGAGGCCCGGCGAAGGCCCCCTCGGGGCCGCGAATAGCCGAAAACTTCCCGTCTTGGCCTCAGCGGCGACGGTGGAAGCAGTTCGTGCACGATGGCGCCGGTGGTGGCGCTCGAGTCTGTGTCCATCGGGGGTGGCGGCCGCAGCAGCCAGGCGGGATCCGTGTCGATCCGATATCGGTCCGACCCGTCTCGATTTCGGCCAGCCCGACCCGATGCGGTTTCGATGCTCCAGCGATCCCCAGAGATCCAACGTATTGACAAAAA